GCCCAAGGACATCTTAGACACATCTGACTCACACTGTAATACATTTGCTAGACATTTCTGGATAAATTCTTGTATCTGCCAGGCCTCCAATTACACAGCACTTGAATCTGGTAAGGTTCCCAGAGCACAGCCTGGTTCAGTTTTCTTGGATAAGTTCCAGTTGGTTCAGCTCAAGCATACTAACAAGGTCCTTGTCCAAGCACCTTGCAACCATGTCTGTACTCAACCCTTGCTCCTCTTGGTTTACAAAACGTAGAAAGCCTGGAACAACTGGCTGAGGCAGGAAGATGACCAATGCCTCTACAATCTAATGTTTGGGTCTCTTGTTGTCTTAAAAAAAAAAGTGGTAGTCACTTGGTCCAGGCTGCATGATGACCTATGGCAGGAGAGAGACAAGGGAATTGTGCCCGTTGATATTCCTGGATCTGCAAACAGCTTTCAGTACCATGGACCAAGGTATACCTCTGGAGTGGCTCCAAGGTAGATTTGATTTTAATCACAGATTTAAATCATGGCTTTCTACATAATTTAAATCATGTCTGCCTTACCTGTAGGTAGAGGAACTTGGGTCTGTTTTATGGCCTGCTGCCATTACAGATTTTCTTCTCCAGGGAAAGAATGAGATAAATTCAGGCTATACACAAAAAAGATACAAAGACTTGTGGAATGTTCTGTGCAAAAGTAGTTCACTTTCATTCTTGCTGCTTCCTCCTTCCTCCCCACAGTTTGTTTCTTATACAAATCTATTCCACTCCCAAGGAAGGCTTGGTTGGTGGCAGCAAGGAGAAGGTAGCATCCAAATTAGGAAATTATTTCCTTGCCAAGACCTGCTGGCCACCAACTTTACTATCTTTTCGGTGCCATGTTTAGATAACCCCTTTGTTGAGGCATTTACCAAATCCAAATCACACATGGGTTAGGGTGTAAGGGGTATGGCCTAGTTTTAATAATTTAGTTGTAAATATAGGGTTTAACAATTTTATGTAATTTTACGATGCATTATTGCTTCATTCTGTAATGTATGTTATTACATTTGTAACTGTTCTTCACCACCCAGAGAGCTTCAGGTACAGAACTGAAGATATAAAATATTAGCTTGAGATCGGGCTATTCTATCTCCCCTTGCAACTAACATGGAAAGCACCATAACTACTGCTTCTCCAAGGTGATAAGAACAACTGGTGCATAGGATGAAAAAGAAGGTGGAGAGCCTGAATCCCCATGGTCCTAGATCCCGTGTATCACCATTTCCAACTATGGTCAATTAAATCACTGCAACTCAGTGGATTCAAATGCATGCAGTGTAAACCTTCACACTGTTTCATTACTGGAACTGTCAAGAAACACTGAACGCAAGTATGCTGGGGGTGAACAATAAAAGGAACATTTACACTTTATTCAGATGTAACAGGAAATACATGTAGCATGTAGTCTTCTGAAGGAACTACCAAGATGGATCCTGTACAAGATGCTTTTATAACCCATCAGTTACATAGTTTGGGGAAGTGCCCCACTTTAAGTTCAAAGTTGTTCTTACAGTATCAGCCTTTTGCCAGCTATATTATGGCAGAGCTTTCCCTGATCTTGTTCTGACAGTTAATATCACTATTGACTGGCTTTTTAAAGTACATACTTTTATCCTATAATTGAATAAAGGCAGTTTCATATTCTCATTGTATTCATCCCAATCTGAACAAGAGATCCTTAACAGTCCACTCTAGATCTTGAAACACTTCTCATTCAAGAACACAGAGTTCTGCTTTAATTGTTGCTATCTATCTATATCAAGTGTTCTGTTAATGTACTCTCAGAAAGTATGGCCACTTGCATTTTTAACACTAAGTTGAACTCTGTTGCCATCTTATTCTGGCCAGAAAACAAAACCCTGAATATTTCATAACCTGCTATTAAAAACTTGTCTAAGAACTGACAGTAGCAAACTCCAACCAATTGTCCCTGAAAAAGAGAGAGGAGGGCACTTTTCTAGTGATGTTGCCACATATGACATTTGAAAAGCAACAATACATGCATCTGATGAAGTAGGCTCTTATCCATGGGTAGTACTTAATAACGCCCACACACTAGCAGTACCCACTGCTAGACCTTCTTATAGAACAAGCAGCAAGCCAAAGCACTCATTTCCATAATAGAACAGGTCAAAGGAGCTAACAGAAGGGAATGTTAAACATTTCAAAAATGTGCATTTCGGTTTGCTTTCAAGTTAACTTAGGAAGTGCTATTTCTTGTTGCACTCACAGTGGGTTCCATGGGTACAACAGCAGAAGTCCTGCAACAGTACACAATACTGCACCAAATAAATGTATGCTATAAAATGTTTTAATATGTAATGTACTACAAGACAGTCGCTTAAAAAAAACAGACTAACATGGTTATCCATCCTGGAAATATTCTTTAAGTCAAAACATTCTTATCCTTCCTTCTTTCATCTCCTATCAAGGAAGAGACCATTATGTACTAGCAAAAATGTTCCTCATTAGGGAAACTGCAGCCTGTGGTGGAATCTGTGCCAGTACTATAACACTGAGGCTCACATTCCCATCAGAGTTCCCAAGAGCAGTGCTGCACTTCTCCTAGAGAAAAAAAGCTCTTAATGGCATTGAGATGGAGCATCACCCAGTGTCAGGGAGCAAGTTATCACCTGTTTTTATTTATGACCCTACACAATAGGAAAAAAGCAGTGGTCCTATCTCATCCTTCTATCTGCATAGCCTCACAGTGGTAAGTTTGTGCCATAAAGTATCAGGAATTAGATTTTACATATAATGTATCAATTATTTACCCAGAACAAGCACACATATTCCCATTTCATCATCATCTTATCATTATCATTGTTCATTGTATTTATAAACCACCCCATAGCTCATAGCATCCTCTGGGCTGTGTACAATATATAGCAGAACATACATTAAAAACTAATAAAAACAATGAAAACAGAATGCAATGACTTGACAGCTACACAAAGTTGTAACAATAACTTATAACACAGTAGCAGATTGAAAACAAACATCAGTAAACAAACATCAATAAAATATTAAAACATAACATTAATCATTAAAATATTGGGCAAATAAAGAAGTTTTAACCTGGCACCATGAGTTCAAGTCCCACACTATCTGCAACACCATGCTGCTGTTATCAGTGTCTAACTGATATCCTATTTGCACCTCCATGCTCTGGCAAACCATGTGGGCCAGTACACTGAACATTCTCTGCTAATCTGTGAAATCACTGTTCAAATGCTACTCCAATAGCAGCAAAAAGGTCACATTAAGTAATTCACATTTGCTTAGCCCAAAGTCTGAAACTATAAAATGGTGATTTTAAATCTCTCCCTCTTGCAGCAACAGGTAAGTTAACTTAAGGGAGTTCACAAAAGGAATAATTCTCATTTTCCATCCTCCAAGCAGTCCACCATATAAGATCCTATAAAGTTCAGGCAATCCTGCCCCTTCTAGAAATACCTTTGCAGGGAGGGGAGCAGGAATGGAGGATAAAAAAAACTCCCCTTCAATGATCTCAGGTTAATTTAGTATCCAACGATCTAAGCCAAACACTTCAATGTATGTCTACTCAGAAGTACTGTTGAATGTAATAGGCTTTACTCTTAGGAACGTTAATATAGGATTGCACGGTCAAGCATTTAATTCTATACACACTTAAGTCTCATTGAACTGAATGGGGCATATTTCTGAATAGGTGCAGAGAATTGTACTGCTAGGGCAAAATCCAATGCATATTTAACGCTGGGGCGGGGAGGTGAGCCTGGATGGGCAATGCAGGGCGCTTTATTCCCCCTCTCTGCCCGAACTTTCATAGGTTCGTGCCCTTAGAAAATTAGCATACTTTTCTCAGAGTATGCTAATTTTACTCTGCTTACTCTATTGTAAGCAAGAGTAAGTCTGCAGTCCCGGCATACTATGTTAAGTAGCTTTATTAAGCTACGCTATACCATGTAAGAGCTCTTCCTCTCTACTGTGTCCTTAGTCTATGAATCACTTATTCTATGGACTCTCGCAACCCCAGCTATACTTATTGCTTCATCTGCTGGATGTTTAGAAAACGGGTGAAAAACTCCCCTGCTAGCAAGAACAGAATGTCCACCAAGTTACTCTTTAAAAGCTTAAAAACCTCTCCACTACTAAGGGCAAGATCGCAAGCGAAAGCACCCGATTAGCTCCAGCGCATCCTACGGAGCTAGTTCCAATTCTCGGGCGCACGCAAAGCCGAATTGCGCCGAAGCGGACTCGCGACACAGAGGATTCCACCAATCAGAAACATCCGGTCGTCACGAACGACAGAGCGCGCCACACTCACGCAGAACGAGAGTCAGAGATGTGCAAGGGAGGGAGGAGGGCCGTGGGGCGCTCTTTTACAACCGCGGATCAGACAGCGAGGACAGGGAAGAATGCGAGGCTGAGATCGCCGAAGAGGCTGCGCTTTGCCTGTGCTTACAACCTGCTCTCGCCGCTCTGATTAGGCAAGAGCCCCGCTACTGGCACTAAAACAATTGCAACAGCACCAGGCACACTTAATGGGGGAAGGCGTGCTCTTAAATTGGGAAGTAAAAGGCAAAGCCTCAAGCTGCAAGACTGAAGTCCGAAACAGCTTAGGAAGTCAATTCAACTGCATTATCAGCGACTGCACCCTGGCCGAGAAAGAAGCCCCATTGAACTCGGTGGGACTTATTTCTGCGGTGACATACATAGGATTATATATGCTGCAAATGGGAGTACTCACTCCCACATCATTTAGAATCAGGCTGCAAACAAGTTCTAGTGTGACAGAGCAACTCCTACGAATTGCAGGAGACTGCTGTTACTTCTTCCCCTGCTGAGAGTAACACAGAGGGATGGCTATGGTGGGGTGAAGTTAGAAGAGGGTGCGGACTAGAGGGGGGAGAAAAGGTAGTAAGTGAATATTACGGGTTCCATCGGAACATGGAAGAATGGGTCCAGGTGCGCGTTTGTCTAGGTTATTACCTGCGCTGGAAGTCTTGCTCAAAAGGAATCAAGTAGGGGTCTCTCTCCAGCACTCGCTCCAGTTCAGGCGCATTCGGACTTAACAGAGCCATCTTTGCAGCTGTAGTAGCAGGATCCGGCCGCCGTGCCAAGATATGACCAGAAGCGGCGCCCTCCCTGCTCTATATACACTTTGGTAAGAAGGGGACTTCCGACCTCTCCCGTAACCCTCCCCTTTCCTCTTCTCCCTGTCTGTCTAGATAGGGCTAAACTGGGTGACGCCTACCCAGGCTGGGAAGAGATGATCCCGCTGCAAAAGGACGCTGACTGCAAGTAACTGGGGCCTTTACCGTTTGTCAATAACAAAACCTGCTGCAGCTGAGGATTTGCAGCTTCATACTGACTGGGCATGCTCGGGAGCAAGCGCAGTGGGTTTTCTGAACCTTCGCTCTTCCCGGAGCCGGCCTTGCTTGTTAGTCTTACAAAGAGATCCCAATTCGGGTGGAGAGTGAGGTTTGCGGAAGTGGGCTGTCTTTCGTAGCGTACTTGAACAAACAGGAAGGAAACGGAGTGGTGGGCAGAATTACGGCGTGGGTTCACTTTTTGACATTATTAAAGCAAGCGCTTGGAATCCATAAAAGAAAGGAGAAGGAGAGCATCTGACTACCCTAAGCCTTTCCAAGTCGGGCTAAATCTGCAGGCTATCCACCTTTAGTGGGAGCATCTCCATAAGAGGACTTCCTTCGGATTAAACATGCATGCCAGAGGCACGGTGGTTATTAGTGGAAATCGCTCGTGAATTTGTCAAGAGGCGGAGGTGGGCTTCTATTCTGGTCGTCTCAACAACTGAGTGCTATTGCTCTCTTTTAAAGACACAGTCTGGCACAAAGCCCGAACAAAATGTACTTGCTGTGTGTCCAAGCAGAGTGGCTGCTGTTCCTTAAGGACTGCAGCCCAATTGAAAGGTTTTTTTAGGAGTATGTTCAGAATGAGAGAACCTTGTCTCTCGAATAGCAGTATGCCTCCTGGTGTACTTGGAAAACAGTTTAATAAGTAGTTTTCTAATGGAGTTGTCTTTGTGCAGGATGTAGCCTTACTAAATTTGAATGTGAAGAGACGGGGGTAATTGTTCAAGTATGATCTAGTTTCCAGTGCAAATCCTACTCAGTTGTTGACAAATGCCCCAATATAGATAGGTAAAGAAGCAGTCTAGAGCAGCAGTTCCCATCTGTTTTATTTCCTACTGATCATTTGAAATGTGTTAGGAAGCTTGGTGGACCATGCATATTGTCGTTGTTCTACAATCAATGTACAGCCACACCTCATTTGTAAAACATTTTTTCAGTACTGGAATTACTACCACCAGCACTGGGTTATGAAGATTGCATGCCCTAAACCAGTGACTTGGTAGCCTCTTCAGTAAGCTGGCTCCCAACAACAGCTTTGATCACCATACTTAAAATGATTGGAAAGACAAGGCTAAGGATAGATATTCTCAGTTATTCCACAACCAGCTTACCTGAATGAACCACAGTATGAGAACCTCTGACCTAAAGCAAGCATTTTCACATTTTCTTGCAGAGGAAACCCATTTTACATCAACTAATCAGTCAGCCATGCATCTCGGGACATTCTAAAGTGTTGCAAAGAATTCTATAAATTGTTCTAGAGCTCAGACTCTACCCATGCACTGGCAGAAGATACTGACCTTCAATTACTTGGATCTAATACAGAATTAGGTTTTCACTTCCATGGTAACTGAGTCAAGCAGTCAAACATCCTCTCAGCTTTGAAGCTTCATAGGTGGATGAGGATCATCCATAGTGGTTTCCACCAGCTCCAAGGTTATGTGGAGGAACAGTAAGTCTAGAAGGCAGGACGTTTGCATTGCAGGCATTAAGTGGTATGTGGAGAAAGAATCCATGTGCCTGTCCTTGGCAGCAGCAAAACAACCACTGCAGTTTGAAAATGGGACTTAGGCTACAGTTGTAAACATAAGGGAAAAGTCTCATTGAACTCAGTGAGACTTATTTTGGATAAACTTGTATAATCAGGTGGTACTAGGTGATTTCCATTCATAGTTCCCAAAATGGCTTCCACTTGTGGATGGAGTTTCTAAGACAGAATTTTCTCCTGTCCCTTCTCAAAATCTAAGGGTATCTTATGACAATGTTGAGTATGTTACATATAACTAAATAAACATGTTTTAAAATCTCCCTAAACACCCTTACATTAAGGCTACATTCCTATACAAACTTACCTGAGAGTAAGGCCCATTGGGGTAATGTGGCTTATGTCAGTTGGTATGTATAGGATCGCACAATAAAACTTCCCATGCTTCATACTTCTACAGTTTCAGTATTTTCCATATTCTTATCCACTGTTCCTTCTGTCCTGAATGGGTCTTCCTCTCCTTCCAAGAAGATCAGAACAAACAGCCTTCTAAGTAAAGTATTATGTTAAAATTTACTTACTGATATAAAAGATGAGTATTGCAGAAATCAATAACAAAATATACCAATGAAGTTAGAATACTGTCATTAGGGGACTGTGTGATTGCCAACTGCATACCTTTCTTCTTTCCCAAACAAAAAGAGCTGACTACACATTCAAGGTGGATAGTGCTGCTTATGGGCCAATCACCCGGAACATCTGATAATGTTCAATTGGTCTGCCCTTTCAAGGTGGCATCATATAATTGGACTAATGAAGTTAAGTTCACCCCCATCATTCTCAGTTTTCTCCCACAATTCCCTCTCCAAAACTGAAACTGGTCTTATTCTCAGTGATGGCCTGGCTTATCTTTGGAGCCATTAGCCTATTTCAGCTATGAATAGAACCGTGTCTTCCACTTCTTAATCAGAATCAGTCAACAACCTTTGTAAGCTGTACTATGGAAAAAGTGAGTCCAATCCCTACATCTCCCAATCCCATTTCATAGCCAATATTCGGCTTGTGCCCTCTATTTACCTTATGAAGTGAGCTCTAATCCACAAATGCTAGATATTTGCGACAATAGATCTGTTCGTCTTTAAGCTGTAGTAGCATTCTCGTTTGTTTGTTTTTTCTCTAAAAGATAATAGCTACCTCTTAGTACTATTTGATACTAAGTTATACCCTTCTTAGCTTACCCAATTTTTAACAAAAAGCAAGGTTGTGTTTTCAGCTCATCAGTGTCTGAAGGTATGAAAAATTCAAATTCTCTTTCCTCTTTCATGCACATATATTGAACAAAAAGTGTAACTGCATAATGTTGCAAAGTTGACACATTGAAACAGAAACCCAAAGTATCCTGTGATGATTATTTGCCTCCTAAGGCAAGTAAGTTGATACAACAACAAAAACAGACTTCATGTTTGGGAGTGCATTTGACAAAGAGAAAGCAGAGCATTGAAATGTGTATAGAAACAAAATAAAAGCTTTTGAAGATTCTCTTCCTTTCTCCTGTTATTTTGTATCAAGAGTTATGTCATTCCAGAAGGCACTGTGTGTGTTATAACCTGGCTAGAATGGTAAGACATCTCCAGCAAATAATAGTGTCTTGTACAGTCCTATCAGATAATTATTGAAAATACACTGTATTTAGTGACTGGGGTACTGCAGAGGAAGGATATCACCACAGAGAAGGCCTCTTGCTATGTTACTTCCAGATGATACTTTGCAGGATATGACATTGGCAGCAGGGCCTCCCCTGGAGATTGTAGTGGTATAACAGTATTATATAGGGGTGACGTGAGAGATAAAGCAGACCTAAGTTGCCTGGGGTTTATGTATCAGTGAAAATACTTTGAACCTGGCTCAATGGCAAACTGAGCAGTTCAGCATCCTGTACTGGCAATCAACCTCAATGGCAGAGAGCATTACAGTAGTCCAGTCTTAAGAGTTATCAGTGTATGTTTAAACTATCCCTGTTTTGAAAGTGGTACAGTATAAGTACCAGCCAAAGTTGGTAAAAAAGTTGCAACAGTCTTGTGTGATTCTACTAACCATGATGAATCTGTACATGCTTACCTGGGAGTAAGCCCCATTGAAAGCGAGGCTTCTGAGCAGATACATAGGATTTCACTCATGTTACAAGCCTATATCCACTTACCTAGCAGCAATGTCCTTTCTAAGTCAAAATTATAAGGCCAACAGATGCTACAACACTTCCATGTCCTCAGTACATTAATTTCTGAAGGATTAGATTCTATGAGACATAGACATAGAATCATACAGTTAGGCCTAGAAGGACATCAAGGCGAAGCCCCTGCTCAATGAAGAACTTAAGTCTCCCATCCAGATTCTAACCAGGCCTGTCCCTGCGTAGCTTCCAGGTTTAGGTAGGATCATAATATATAACTCCATGGTAAAATATTGTGTTTAGCAGAAATTTTCTAATATTGAGGTGGACATCTTTTTAGAATTTGATCTGCAGATAGGCATGAACAACCAATGCATGGTGGTTTGATCAGTTGAGTGTAATATGATTCCTCCCAACAGCCACAAAATTTACCAGGTACCATTAGCCCAGTCATACTATCACATACTAATCTGTTTTTCAAGGTTGTTATATAGTAAAAAATGATGTGGGGAATCTCTGAATTATTTAGGTATGATAATAATTTAATCTTTTGAATTTCTCATGAAAAATTAACCTAAAATAAGTTCTGTTTTACCATAGAGCAATGCTGAATATAATACTTCATGTATAGCAATGTACCCACTGCCTTTGGGGCAGTGGGCACATTTGACAATTTGGTGAACTGTCAGGGCACCACCACAAAATGGCTGCTATAGGACAGATTAAACACAAGGCAGAGGTTGGGTCAGCCTCAACATACACACCTGCTTTGAACCCATGTTTTCTGAACCAGCAGAAATCTTTAAAGCTATTCCAGCTGCTGATGAACTTAACTTTAAAAAAAAAAAAAAGGAAAGAAAAGAAAAAAGGTGAAAGCGGGGGGTGGGGGATAGCATGGCTATTAGTATTAAAGCTTTATTGATATATGTAAATTTGTCCATATGTAGTGATTATTGCAATATGGTTGCTTTCTTTCAGACCCAGAAATCATTCAGAAACAATAGCTTTTATCTCTTCTGGCTATGCATTCCAGATGCATATATATATATAATATTTTAAATAATGTTTTATATTAGCCTGGCACTGAGTCACATGGTCTTCTCACCCTATAGATAGAAAGGTACATTCACATGCACATTACACACACAGAGACAAAGACGGAGACGGAGAGAACGAGAGAGAATTATATAAGCTCGCTGTGAGAGTGCAACAGTTTGGTGCTGTATACCTATCTGGGATGTGATGAAAAGCTGAATCAGGACTGTGGGGGTGGGTGGATTGCAGTTTGTTATGGAGACAAGGAAGCCAACAGAACACTGTTGGTAGATTCACAACCAACACTATAGTGCTGATATCATGATGGAAAACATAAGGACTGGCACTCTACCCCTGTATTTTCAAATGGGAACTTGCCAAGATAACATCAAGGCAAAAAAGACATTGACCCTACTTGGCAGATAGGTGTAGTTTTATGTGCAAGTCTACTTATTATTACTAAGTGGGAGTGAGAACGCTTTTGCAAATCTATCACAAATCATTGAGCATAAACAAGAGAGTTCTAAATCCATATCTTAACCTGTTCCATGTCCTTATAGTATGAATGTTCCTGTTCTTAACAGTACAATTCTATGTATGTTTAGGAAGATGAAAGTCCCATGACTCCTAGCATTCTCCAATCAGCAATGCATAAGGAGGTGTTGGCCATATGTTATCATTCCAGGGGTAAAGCTTTTTCAGTTCTGTAGCCTGTACCATTGTCTTGTCTTGTATCCTACCAAGTGACAATCACTTTCTTCTTCCTGGCTAGTAACTTGCATTTTATCTGTGTCCTTTAATTCAAGGTTTCCAATTGTTCCTTGATGGAGAGACCACCTGCTGCTGAAGCATAGAAAAGAAGGTAGTTCCTGCCGTCATTTTGTTCTTTAGGGTTGCCGTGTGCAAAGCAAAAGTTTCACATTTTGTGATTTTTCCCTTTGTCATTCTGAGACAGCTCCAACATTTCACAGCATCATTATCAGCTGACTGGTGTAAACAGATGAGAGAAATGTATAAATCAGCAGCAGCAATTTGTAAATGAACAACAAGAATGTGGCCGAGAGTTTGGACCCCTGGAGATGTAGCGCTCAAACTCCTGATTTAGCAATATTCAGTAGGTATTGGTGTGACTCAGTTCTGACTGATAGCTACTGAACAACAACAACCATGGTAACCCTTCAAAACTCTACACTTTCTCGATATTTCCAAAACTATTTTTTAGGTTGTGCAAAAAGCAGAGAATGGAAAAAAGAAACAAGCTCCCAAAATATGACTAGGAGCTTTCATCATTGGGTGTGCAGTTTAGAAATTTACTGATTTATTTATAGATAGTTGTTATGTGCTATCAAGTTGTTCCCAGTTTATAGCAGCGCTATGAATAAAAGCCTTCCAAAATGCTGTCCATGATAGCCCTGCTCAGCTCTTGTAAATTCAAGGCTGTGGCTTCCTTTATGGATTCAGTCCATCTTGTATTGGGTCTTCGTTTTCTTCTACCTTCGATGTTCCCTAGCATGGTTGTATTCTCAGGGAGTTTGCCTTCTCATGATGTGCCCAAAGTTTAATCTCAAAATAGAGATTTGCAAATTACCCAGTTCCCTGCTTTTTGTCCCAGCTGTTGAAGAATTGTGGAGTTAAAAGTTTACATAGTTTTGTGGAATATTGGCTGGTCCTAATAAAGGCATTACCCAACTGGGGATTTCATAAATGCAGGTCATAGTAAATTAATTTTAGCACTTACTTGTTTTCATAGTGAACTGAGTGCTTCCAAGACCAAATCTGACAAACTTAACACTGCATTCATTTCATTGGTCTTTGTCTTAACTTATGTACTTTCTACAGTTGTAATACAGCTATCTTGTTTGACTTTATGAGTTCAATTTAATAAGCATAGTTTGGCTTCCTTTTGCAATATTCAAAGTATATATGCCTACTTGTTTTGGCACCAGGTCAAAACTTTCTTAATTTCTCACCATTTTAATTGTCAGTTATGCCATTTGCTTTTATATAGGCTTTTAAATTGTTTTGGTACATGTAGAATAGTTGTGATTATGCATTGTTTTGTTCATTGTTTGATTGCATGCCTGTCAAATTTCATTGTCATGTGAATGTTTATGACAGGCGAGTCTGTTTTAAACCTGTTTTTAAATTGATTGTTATTTGGTATATTTTTAATTATATTCTGTATACTCTGAGAGTATTGTGCTAATTCAATGGCATAGAAATGCCTTAAATAGATAAATAATACATGGTTAGATAACTAGTCTATACAAGAGATAGTAGGCTCTGGAACACAAAAACTTATGACGCAATAAGTTTGTCATTTTATTTGACAAGGTGCAATGCTATGAACAGCTCGCTAAAGAAGGATATTAGTTACAGTGGAAACCTGTGAATCTGTCAGTACTGGCAGCATGACACTTTTTTTTGTCTTTTCCATTTTACCTAGATGGAAACTGAGTTTCTTAAAACACAATCCTATTCAAGTTTAAACAGAGGTAAAGGCCTACAACTCCCAGCCCTCCCCAGCCAGCACAGCTGGGATTATAGTCCTTTTTTCTCTGTCTCAACTTTCATATGGTTGCACCTTGGTGATTATAGTTGTAGCTAGTAGAAATATGGAAGGAGAAAACTGCAGTTCAGTCTGTTAACTTGCTTTGCTTCAACTGTATTCCTTGAAAAATAGCCATACTAAATACTCCGGTCTCTTTTTAAGTTGATGATTAATTCCTTGCATGCTCCAGATGTTTACTTTTAATCTTCCCTTTGGTTATATTTTATGCATTATATTCCAGATTGAATCCAACTTTTGCCCTTTTCAACTAATTTTGGTGCTTTTTCATCTTATAAGAATTAAATTTATGACTTTAATTTTGTCATATTTACAAAGGAAAGGGTTACAATACATTTGCTGTTCTGTATCAGGTGTTGAATGAAGGGAAAATCAAACATCCAGTTAGTACATAAAATTATTTACATTATGTATATTATTACCAATAAAATTTTAAAACAGAAAAGAATGTTAAATGTGTTCAATATGTAAAAGCTTCTAGGAGATGGCCACTGATAAAAGAATCTCTAGAGAATGTCTGCATAAACATTCTAAACTCAGGACTGATGACAAATTCCTTACAGGGTTTATGGGAAAAGCTAGTGAGTTCTTATGATGATCCATAGTCAAACACAGGACAGTAAATCTTTAGTTGTCTGAGGCATTTTCCAGATTCCAGCTCTTGCATAGGACTTTTAATGCTCTATGTCATGGGTCCTCAAACTATGGCCCACGGGTTGGATCCGGCCCGCCATGGCCATTTATCCGACCTGCCATAGGGGTTTTGGACAGGCCACGCACACACGCACATGTGGTGAGGCGAGGCGGGGGCTTGCTCTTGCAGACATCGTTTTGGACTCGCTCGGAGAAAATGATCTCCTTGCAAGCAAGCCTCCACCTTGCAGTGCGTGCGCCCAGCGGCGGCTTGCAAGATCATTTTGGACTCGCTTGGAGAAAACGATCTCCTGTGAGCAAGCTGGCGCCTTGCCATGTGTGCGGGTCCTGCCCTGGCCCGCGCCCTCCTCCCACACCGCCTTGGTGGCCCGTGCCCATCGCTAGCACCTTTCAGCGGACCCCCAGTTTAAAAAGTTTGTGGACCCCTGCTCTATGTGACTAAAGCAGTCCATAGTAATCAAGATTTGATTTGCTTGATGTCCTGCAACTGTGCATTAGGTTATGTACTCATGCAACAGCCTTCATTTTGACTCCCTTTTTTGTTGTGTGTCAGTTCATTTTTTCTTTATTTTTTGTTGCAATACACACACACCAAAAACAACAAAGGGACACGGACAACAAGGAGCTGGCAAGAAAATGTTAACATGGAAGGCTAAGTTTGCGTTTCTCTCTCTCCACTATGCATGTAGCTCATGACAGTGCTTCACTGGCTCAGTATGATTCAACTTCCGAAGTGTAGCATAGTTTTCAACTCAAATACTTACCTAGGGCCAGTGGCTACTTGCCCCAGGCAAGGAAATGAGTGGCAACTTACAAGCTGAACAGATTTTAGCTGGTGCCTAGCTTCTGGGATCATCTTTGTCTATATTACTAAGAACTGAATTTTGCCAGTTGGTCCTCCGTGACAGTTCTGTCAGGGATGCTGCAACTTGCAGGCTTTAAGGCAGATAGATCTGCAGTGGGAAACATTCCAGGAACACAAGGTTACTAGTCTTTGAGAAGCTTGCCAGTGTCTTTCTCATGGAGGATGCGAAAGCGTGGTAGTAGTGAGATGAAAAAGCTTTCACACAACAGTGGAAAATTGTACAGGAGGAATCCTTATCAAAGTCCTTGCAATTCTTAATAGAGTTATGTGTAACTTTTGTGACATTCATTTTTCCCAGTGGGGATCATCATCATCATCATCATCATCATCATCATCATCTCCTCCTCTGCTATCAACAGCCAAAGCTGCCTAGGCAGTTCACAAAAATTTATCAAAGCAGAATAGTAAAAATGGATACAATAAAAATACAGATATGTTAAAACTCTGAAAATTCGAATATACAAAACTGTAAAGAGTTTAAATATCTAAATATCTAGCCGTATCAATAAATACTAGACCCACTTAAGGAATGTTTGATCCAATGTTGGACAATGCACGATGTGCCTCATGCAGTTTACATATGTGCTTTTCATCTTCAGTAAAAGAGTGATTAAAAAATTGAGCAAGTTTCCATTCCTAAGCATGCATCCATATTCCCCAATGAGGTTCATTGTGTTTAGAGATGTGCTTTTCTAGTAAGAACCAGAAACTGATTTAAAGTCAATATACTTCTACATTCAATCACTGTGAAGAAGCAGCAGCAGCAGCAGCAGGAGTGGAAGGAGCAGCGGAAGAAGAAATCAACTATGTTGATTCAATTCATTCTCTGGAGATTCAGGCTATCACACCAAAACCTGCAGATGCCTGACAAGAGGGGACTGTGGAAGTAGTAGCAGAATAAATGGGGAAAGGCTTGAATTATATTGTCATATCACTAGCTACATGAGCCATTGTATGTCTATACAAAAAACAACTATGAAGATAAAATCAGTTTTGACAGAAAGCATAGACAGTTGTGCTGTCATTGATTTTAGAAACACTTCAGTTTCCGGCAGAGTTCAAGATCACAATGGATCCAGATGTGATTCAAAACATGGGAAATTTTCATTGTTATTATTCACGCATTAGGACTGCATCCATGTTTCCATATGTAAAGGCATTAATTATCTCAAAGAGAAATGCAGTCTAAGGTCAATGGCTTGCCTTAAAATCCAGAAGAGCCAGATTTATCAGAATGTCCTTGTAGCATGATGTAGGGACTTGATCAGCTGTGCCAAGCAAAGTCTGGACTGAAGTGAATGTTCTTAATATATGAGCAGGGAAATGCTTTTCCATATACATGCTCTTGTAACTATGGAATATGCAACACAGATATATGATCTGGTATAAGGCAGCTTCCTATGAAAGTCTGTTTCTATTGAAACCTTGTATTCAAAGCTTAAAGTAGGCATTAGCCTCTACTCAAAGGCAGAAATTTAAAATGAGCCAGGATAAAATTACATGGCAGAAAACAGAGGCATTAGTTCTGGTTCATTCTTCTTCATTCTTGATCAAAGAAGGAGAAGATAACTCAGTCCAAGAAGCTATTATTACTACATTACATTTATGTCCCAGCCTTTTTCCTCCTGTGAGGAATATGAGGTGGCTTATATTGTTCTCCACTCCATTGCATCTTCACAATGACAGTTCTGTGTCATAGGTTGGACTGTGAGCAAGCAACTGGCCCAAAGTCACTCAGTGAGCTCATGGCTGAGTGGGGACTAAAACCCAGATGTCCCAGGTCCCCAATCCAACATTTTATTTATTTATTTATTTATTTATTTATTTATTTATATTTAAAGTTTTTGTATGCTGTCCCCTTGCTATATAGCCTTGGGACGGCTCACACAAATAAATATAGTACAAATACAGTTAAAATCCGGAAACACCCCAGCTGCACAATTAAAACCTATAAATATTAAACATTATTAAAATATTGTTTGAATAAAAAGGTCTTAGCCTGGCGCCGAAAAACACCACGAAACCACACCAGCACCCATGCATTTTGGCAGACTATAATACATAGTAGAACTACCCTTATGTCTTATGAAACAGACATGATTCTTATCCTATTTAAGATGGGAGGATGAATCTAAAATAATACTTGTTTGTTCAAGGCTCATGGCTCATACAATTTGAACCAAGAGTTTCTGGCCTCAGGAGATATAGGTTCTGTTTTCCATGATGCTCAGTGAGTGTCAGCTGCTGATTCTCAGGCTATCTTGTCCTCATGGCATTGTTTTGAGGATATAATAGTGCAGAGGGATAAGCTACCTTAAATCCATTGTTGGAAAGAGGCGGGATACAAATAAAAGAAATCACTCTTAGTTTGTGTTTACAGTATGCCAACTCTGACCAAAACTTGTGCTCTGTATTTAGTTCTATTCGTGCACCTGTTAAATACTGCTGCTGTTGATCAGCATAATGCTCATATGAATATTTAAGTGCATGGGATCTTGGGATCCCACATAAGAGGCCATGGCTGTCCTTCCTTTTCTCTTGAGTCACATACAAGTGAGACCACTGGCATCAAATCTGAGGTCTACTGTCTCTACATGCTACAGTGAGGGCCATTCCAACCTACTGTGTTGCCTGAGATAAAAAAAGTCTCCTGCACCCACACCGCACCTATTCCATGCACAAAATCCACCTGACCTAGGAGCTGAACCTTACATTAACACTGATTATAGAACAATGTCATGTACCAATGTCCTGAAGCTGGCAGACTAGCCCAGGAGCTCAAGAGAAATGAGGGGCTACCACTATTCCCTAGCATTTGCCACTTGGGATATCTACCCTACTCTGTCTAGTATTAGAGCCTGGCCAATTATAGGGAGCAGTGATATTATAATGTGTTGATTTTATGTGAAATATTATGTGTTGAAAAGGCCTTGATTTTTGATTCCAATAACAAATCTACATCCCTTGAAGCATAATATAAATCATTATATATGCTGAAATTCACTGGCTATCTTTTTTGGTAGCACATGGGTTGAATTCAGACCTTAATATACTTAAGGTAGATCCATTGAAATCAAATCTAAGTCTGGATGCAACCACATTTCTAGGGTCACGTCATACAATTAACATTGTGCCTAGTCATTGGAGCTGGTACTCTGCCAATGCCAGGGTGGGGGTTGGGGGGAGTAGACAGTTTTTCTTAAGCTAGTGTTTCAATGCTACCTACAGGCAATGAATTAGATTCCTAACAATAAAATGCACGGCAGTTATATTTAGATTTCAATCCAATGCCAAGTGAAAGTTATCTGCTCCAAATCTTCTTGTGCAACTATAAAAGATATGCTTCTTCTTTACAAGTGAACCCAGCAACCTCTATGGAAATCCATGGAATCCCTTCCTCAAGTGGAAAGGTTCTTGGCTAGTATCCATTATTATAGCCCATAAATAGAAACAGATGGTGATGACATGGAAGACCATTCTCCTTAGCAAGAGCAAGAACCTTATCCACAGACACCAATCTCATTTTCTAAAGCTGAGATCAGATACCATTTCTGAATCCATGATCTGTAGCACATTGAGCCACAGTTTCCAACCTTTTAGTTCTTCTTCTGGTGTATTTAATTTGGGGCTTTTCACTAAGCTCTGGGTTCCACCTTGTATTTTGTCAAAAGAGTCCAAACCACTGCTTATAATCAAATGAAATATTCAACTGTACAGTTAGCATAGTTAAATCTGCCCTGAGGAAAGTGAACAAACTCTGTGATGGCTCGACTCCCCAGTTCTCCCTTATGTTAAGAATCATTTGCAGACAAAAAGGACTCGGTAGGGAAGTCGGGGTTATGGAATCCAGCCATCAACTAGTATGGACTTCAAAAGAGCAGCCGTGCACTGCTCTTGCTGCTTCGGATGATGGCTGTTGTAAATTATTCATACCATAGTCAGCACCACGCAGCATTTTAA